GGGGTGATGTCAGTAGGAGAGAAAAAAGCTTTTGGCTTTTTTCCCCTCCCTGCCCCCTCACCCTGTTTTTGTTGTTGTTGTTTTTAGCTTATCTGCACAATTTCATAAAGCATTTCCTGATTTCCGATGCCTTTTCTCTCGCCCGCTCTCGTTTCTCTCCCCCTTTTCTGCCAATAACGAAAGTTTCTCCGCTCTAGTCGCCTGGCTGACTTTCGGAGAAACTGGCCGAACCGGTGGTGGCGGCGCCTTTTTTCAGCATGGCCGCTAGATGGCAGCCTTGCTCCATGTGAAAATCCCCGGTGCGGCGGCTTCGGGAGCTGGTGGCTGCACTTCGCACCTAAGTCGGCCGTGAATCTACGAACTGAACGCTAACAAAAGTCATGAATAATTTGTGCGTAATAAAAATATAGGGTTCATTATGGCCATTTCCCCCACTTTATAGATTTCAGATATACTGGTGTTGCCCCCCCCTCCTCAAATGGTCAATTTTATGAATTTCCCCCAGGAGGAGCGCTCAGCGCTTCTCACCCATCCAGTTTCTGTGTTCGGTGGGGCAACAAATGCAAGAGAATAGGGAATAGTAGTAGTAGTAGTAGTAGTAGTAATAATAATAATAATAATAATAATAATAATAATAGGAATAATGGGTCCAAATAAAAGAGAATTTGTTCGGGAAAATGAGAGCTTTCCGGGGAGGGGAGCAACAGGAATGTCTGCGGATGCGGGTGAGCGAGTCAGGTGAGAGGGGAGAACCGGCAGAAGAAGGTCAGATGGAGAGGGAGCTGCGGGAAATCTGCGGCCAGATCGGCAGGAGAAGGAACTGGGTGAGCTAGCCCGGGGGTGGGGACAATTTTGGAGGAAATAGATCGTGGCTCTGGTGGGGATTGGAGGTGCCCATAGCCGGCGAGGTGGGCTCCGCACGGACCGAGGCTCCAAGAGCCTTTGTAAGTGTCGGGGTCTGGGCTGGGCGCGCGCCGGGTCGACCCAGGCGCGGGCCAGGGGCTCCCCGGAATAGCGAAGTGCGGGAAGGTTCCGGTGTTTCGCGGAGAAAACATGCGGATTTTGCGGAAGCATGTGGGGCAGGCACCGCGGTGGGAGGAAGCAGGAGCTTGCTTTAAGCCGCGGTCGGCAGTTTCCAGGTGCGAGCCCCGGCTCCGTGCGCAAACGTGGGGGTCACGGGTCCTTTCGCAGTTTAGCAGCTGGAGGCCTGGACTCCGGGTGTTTTTCGTTCTGAGACCCGTGCACTGTCTGTCCATAGACTCTTCGATTCCAAATCTCCTATGTCCTCCTGGCCCAGCCCGACCTGCGCGCCTCTTTGGGACAAACCTGCGAGGAGAAATAGATCCCCCCTCCTTAAAATTAGCCCCGCTGGCTGCAGCCTCTCCTTTCTTCCTCCAGGAGCGGGTGCGAAGAGGCGAGCGGAGTCTCTCAATTTGAGTTTCTCTAATAAATCTGCGCTCCGTTGGGTGTTTATAAATTATCTCCTCGCTCTTTCTTGCCTTTTTCTTCTTCTTCTTATAATAGAAACATTTTCCTTCCATCAGGAATTTTTGGAACGGTGTAGGGATGATTTAGAACAAGCCATTGAATTTCTACCTCACCGGTGAGTCCTCAAATCATGACCATAAAATCCCCCGCACTTGATAAAAATGTTCGCTTTGGCAACAACTTAACTCTCGCTTCCACTGCCTCGCAGCCCTCTTAGTTTCCGGCTGAAGACTTAAGACCTTCCCCTTCCTTTTTTCCTTTCTCTCTCCCTGTCAGCCCCTCTCCCATTCTCCAGATTCACTTTTGAAGGACCAAGTGTCCTCAA